TAACACAGAACTCAGTCTGACTCATAACATCCATCCTTTCGAAACCAGGTCTAAGCTTGGAATCAGCACCACACCAAGAAAACAGCTGCCTGCTTGGTGCTGCCACAGCCAGAAAACAAAACTAGCCTAACAGAATCATAGAGTAACTGAGCTTGGGAGAGCTTAGACACAATACATTCAAAGGACTTTTTTGTATGAAAAACCTCATAAGAAGCATGCTTCTAGAGCTGATAATCCAAATGTTAAATGAGAAGTAGCAGAATGGTTAAATGACTTCACGAGCAGTTCCTGGGGGTGCTCAAGGAAAGGTTGGATGGGGCCCTGGGCAGCCTGAGCTGGTGGGGGGCAGCCCTGCCCATGGCAGGGGTTGGGGCTGGCTGGGCTTTGAACTCTCTTCCAACCCAAATTTTTCTGTGATTCCATGACCACATTTATAAATATACATTCAGTTTATTCAGAAGAAGAGTTCATCCAAATTCCCACCACAGCGTATTTTTTTTTCCCACAGAAAATCACAATGCTTGATCTTTTACAGTCAGTTCTAAGACATTACAGCCCTTCCCAAGCTGATTTAGCCACCGTCAGGCTGACAGGTCAGCACCAAGCTGTTCACATAATCTGCTGCGGTCAGCCAGACATGTCTGACAGGATCTCCACCAGCAAGCTATGCTGGGAAGTGGGCCACAGAACCCAACAACTAACCCAACAAAACGCTGGGTTTGGTTTCAATTCACGACGGCTTTATTTTTTAGCAAAGAGCACTCTGAAAAGCACTAAAAGCGCAGGGTAATGCCCCCAGGCCGGCCAAGCCCACTGGTCACCTGCTACCAGCAGGGAGCCGATACCCCCATCCCGCGGCAGAAACCGGGCAGGGCCGAAAGACCTCGGGGTTGGGTTGGGGTTGGGGTTGGGGTCGTGGCCAGGCCGCCTCACTCACCGCGTCCCGCGCCGCTCACGTGTCGCCCGCACGGCCCCGCTCCGGCCTCTCCGTGCACCAGCACGCGACTCCGCCCCACTCACTTCCAATTGGCCGAAAACGCCTCCGTGTCTTTATTGACAGACAGTGCAGCCAATAGGACAAGGCGAGAGCCGCGGCTGGAGGAGAGACAGCGGACAGCCGGCAAAGCAAGCGTCGGGATTGAGGTGGCCGGAGCGCCCGGTACGCCGCCGACCCTTACCTGCTCCCGTCGCAGCACGGACGACGTGGCGACACATGGCTCGGTCCCGGGCAGCCGGCAGCTTCACCTCAGCCCCGGGCAACGGTCAGCCGCGGACGCGCGCACTTCCGGCGCGCTGCATTGTGGGCCGTGAGGGCATAGGGTGAGCGGTGGAGGGGAACGGGAGGAGGTGGTGGCGGCGGCGGCGGCGGCGCATGCGCGTTGGGTGGGTCGCGGTGGGGAAGGGACGGCCGGGCGCTTGGATCGGGTGCAGGTGTGGGGCAGCCCTGCCCACGGCAGTGCGTTGGAGCTGGGTGGGCTTTGGGCTCCCTTCCAAGCCAGAGCGTTCTGTGATTCGATCGTGTTCCATTACAAATTAATGGAGTTGTCGCATGAACTTCGTGCTTTGCTTAACATCTGTGAATCAGTTTTGATGGAGTTGGTGTTAAAGACTCATTTGGCTTACGTGGGGGTAGATGATTGACTTCTTCACGTATTCTTTCCCCCTTCACGTATGTTTTTCTTCTCCCTCACTTAGGAAGCTGCAGAAATGACTAACCGAGAAGAAGCCGAGATACAAGTATCAGAATTAGATTTACTCTCTAGCATGTTTCCGTATGAGGAAGAATTCAGTGTGACTGACCAGCTGGCTGTGGCAGAACTAAAGCACTTCGTTGAACATGAGTCTGCAGAGATGCCATCTTCTAAAATTCAGTTTATACTGAATGTGAAGCCAGAGGACTCTAATGCCTCTATGGTATTATAATAATGATGTTTTGGAGAAAGTGTTTTGTTATTTTATGATTAATTAATTTATTTTTTTCCTAAGACTATACTATGAGACACCGAAGTTTCTTCAAACTTAACATGTGCTTATTTGTTTTTAGGTAAACTTTTCTATGGTCTGTGCTTTACCGTTTAAATATCCGTCTGTTCTACCAGAAATTACCGTGAGGTATGTTATTAAAAAGTACTGCTAGTAAAAATAATTAGAAGCTGTTGTGATATGTAAATAAAGATACAATAGCACAATACAGTTTGGTTGTTTTTTTTTTGTTGTTGCTGTGTTGTTTTGTTTTTTGGTAATTTACTATCAAGTTATTCAAATTCGTTCAATAATCAGATTTAGCCAGGTGGACAATGGTGCTGAAGAAGGTCATATCCACAAGAATTCGATTTCATCAGTTACCTTGGCAGATAAGACAAAAATAGGAATAGTGAGGAGGAGTTCCACCTTCCATACAAAGGGGTTATGTGTACATAGTGTTCATTGGTCTGATGCTCAAGCAGAGTACATCTTCCATTTTGACAAGGTTTAACACTCTTGAAAGGAGTGAAAAGTTACTCACTGGTATTATTCTTTCTTGACCAAATGCTGTTACTGCCAGACCTCAAGTTTTTGATTTTTTTTTTCTTGGACATTTTTCATTAAACGTCACTTTCTGTATTTTCTGTCACTGTGTTACAGAAAATTAGTTCAGTCACCATGCCTCCTCCTTACGTGCTTTTTCCTTCATTCTGATTTTTAGTACTGTATCTGTATTCAAGAGTTAGCACAATAATTGAAAGCTTTTTATGACATTTACATTTCACGTGACTTAAGTGTCAATAGCAAGTGCATATGGCCTGATTTGTTTGGTAGCCTAAGTAAACTCTCTGAAAAAATGTGGTAGTCTGTAAGCATATTAAAACTCCTTTTTTTTTTTTTCCTTTTAGGTCACCATTATTGAGCCGCTCTCAACAAGCCCAGCTGAACTCAGATCTAAAAACATATTTGATGCAGAACTTCAGTGGAGAGCCCTGCGTGTTGAGTGCCAGAGAATGGGTTAAAGACCAGGCAGCTGCTTACATTGACAGAGAACTTTCACCTTCCTCAGTGACGACATCTAATGCTGTTCGGTCAGAGGACGTCATTTTCACTAGATTGTGGATCTATAGTCACCATATTTACAACAAGCAAAAAAGGAAGAATATTATAGAATGGTCCAAGGAACTCTCTCTGTCAGGATTTTGCATGCCTGGGAAACCAGGTGTTGTTTGTGTAGAAGGTCTGCAAAATAACTGTGAAGAATTCTGGTCAAGGTTAGCTTTTCTTTGTACTTAAATGCTGTTAATATTTAGAGTAATTTGTTTTTTTGAGTTATGTATATGGGCAGAAGATGTGACACCCAACCACCTTCCAGCCTATAAGGGTCTGCAAAGGTTGTGAGGTTTTTTTTGTTGTTGTTGATTATTTTTTTTTTTCATAATGTACTTGCAACTCTAAGTATCCACTGTAATGATGGTTATAAGCAGTCAAAGCTACTAATACTGCACAGTGCACATATATTTCTGTTTTTATCTTTCTCTGTATTACAAAGGTATAGCAATGGACAGCAGTACTCCATTGTTGTTAGATATGTATATGGTTATATTGCTTTATGTTCATAATTTATTTTGCTCCCATCACTCATATGAGTAGTAGAGACTAAATGGACATAATTGTTTGATTAAAAGAATTTGACTACACATGGCAAGAATGTTAGAATTCTTAGCACAGCAAGGCAGAAGTGAGCACTGAAGTTGAAACCACACCTTCATCAATTATTTTGTGAGGAGATACATAAGGGTTTTTGAAGGAGATGAAACAAGCTGCTGCCTATGGGAGTATTTACATGCGAGCAGTATTCCTGTAACCTACTAAGGAAGCATGACTTTTGTCCTGGTGTATGTAGGAAATAGATTTGTTGACTTTTGTGATAATTGCTATTTCATACTGTATAAATTGACATTTCTCCATTTGTTTTCAGAATAAGAAGACTAACATGGAAAAGAATACTAATTCGGCACAGAGAAGATATTTCTTTGGAAGATGGATGTCTTACTGAGATTCAGAAACAAAGAAAGTTCTCCACTTTGGAAGAAAAATGTTTCGATGCACACGGTGCTAGAGGAAATCATATGGATTTGGGGCAGCTATATCAATTTTTAGAAGAAAAAGGATGTGCTGACATTTTTCAAATGTACTTTGGGGTTGAAGGGCATTAAATCATCACAGGTCCATCTGCCCACATTTCTAAGTTAATCCTCATAACAGATTTCTTAGCCTTTCTGCAACAGTTGATCAGAGAGGAAATTAGTGATTCTTTCTTACTGTGATGAATCCAGTTTTCTAAGAAAACAAGTATTCAGTGACAGCTGAATAATGAAAATGACTGAATGAATGGACACCTGGATGCTTTCCTGTGCGACCTGCTCTAGGAAACTGCTTTAGCAGGGGGCTGGACCCAATGATCTCCAGATGTCCCTTCCACCCCCCAGTGATTCTGTGAAGGCAGTATTACGGCTGTTGATTTTGCATACACATCAAATTACAAAAATTGGTAGCCTAATGGGTAGAATTACAGAATGTGGGATTGTAGTGAGTGAGTATGTGAATAGGAAGAAGAGAAAAAGGTGTGTGTATTGGAGGACAAGAAATAGGATGTTTACATGATTTATTACTGTTTACGTATGCTACACTCAGACTTCTCTAACAATGTTTTCTATCGATTTCTACATGAAAGTTTATGAAGCTGTGAGATCAATTTTCATTTTTTTAGGGGAAATGGTTTTATGTTGAGGGAGGGGAGATTTAGGTTGGATGTCAGGGGGAAGTTCTTTACTGTGAGAGTGGTGAGGTGCTGGAACAGGCTGCCCAGAGAGGTTGTGGATGCCCCGTCCCTGAAGGTGCTCAAGACCAGACTGGATGGGGCCCTGGGCAGCCTGGTCTAGTATTAAATGGGGAGGTTGGTGGCCCTGCATGTGGCAGGGGGGTTGGAGATTCATAATCCTTGATGTTCCTTCCAACCCTGGCCACTCTGTGATTCTTAGAAAAAAAGAGAGACTCAGAAAAGCCTTATTTATGCAGATAGAATGAGCTCGGATATCTTTTGTAGTGATAGTTCACAGTGATTTTGTTTGATACGCAGAGATTTCCCCGGCTGAGTGCATGCAAATCGTCAAGCACTCGTAATTTTACACAGAACACAGCGGCTTAATAAACGCCCCGCCCCCTCCTCCAGGTGCGCGTACATCCAGGCGTAAGGTGAAGGGGCGGGGCCAGCGAAACGGGCGGGCTCATGAAGGAGGCGGGACTTCCGCTGGCCCCGCCCCTCCCGCGCGTCGCTGCTGCTCTTCCTTCCGGAAACGCCGCTCCTCGGCCCGGAGTGCCGCCGCAGCCATGGGGGGAAAGAACAAGCAGCGGACCAAGGGCAACGTGCGGGTGGGTGAGCTCTGCGGCCTTCCCGTCCTGCCGTTCTCTGCGGGGCCGTCTTGTCCAGCGTGGGTGGGCGGCGGAGCTCCGCTTCGCGGTTCGTGGCCTCCGCCGCTGGTGGGCAGTTGAGGCCGCCCTACTCCGTCCGTTCCCTTTGTAGGGGCCGCGGGACGGCTCTTCGCTAGACTGGGGTTTGTGAAACTTGACCGAGGTGCCGGTGAGGGGTGTTTTTGGGTACCTCTGACCCAGCCCGCCGTCTTCTGAAGGGGTACCAAAGGGCGTGCCACTTGTGCTGAGGTTTCATGCACAGGAAAAGTGTCTTACTGCTGTGGGTGGTGTGTCTGTGTATCTTGTGTGTCAGAGGGGAATTAAGAAAGTATAGGGTGAACCACAGCAAGTTGTCATTGCCCCGAAACAAAGCTAGTGATCATTAGGAATTAAAAGATATTTGGTCTATATTAGACTAGGAGGGTTCTACAGATGGATCTGGGTAGACTGAACCAGTGGACTGAATGCAAGCCTTTGAGGTCCAGCAAGACTGAGTGCTGGGTCCTGCGCTTTGGCCACAATAACCTCATGCAGTGCTACAGGTTTGGGGCAGAGTGGCTGGCAGGCTGTGTGAAGGAAAAGAATGTAGGGGTATTTGTCATCAGCCTGCTGAATGTGAGCTAGCAGTGTGCTGTGGTGGCCAAGAGGGCCAACAGCATCTTGGTTTGTGTCAGAAATACTGCAGCCAGCAGTACCAGGGAGATGATCATCCCCTGTACTCGGCATTGGTGAGACTGCACCTGGAGCATTCAGTTTTGCATCCCTTACTACAGGAAAGGTGTTGAGGCCTTTGCCTAAAGTCCAAAGAAGGACAGCAAAGCTGGTAAAGGATCTGGAGCACGAGTCTTATGGAAAGTGGCTGAGAAAACAGTAATTCAGTCTGGAAACCTTATCGCTCTTTACAGCCACCTGAAGAGAGGTTGTAGCAGAGTGGGGGTCAGCCTCTTCTCTCAGGTAACAGTGATAAAATGAGAGGTAATGACATCATTTTGTTCTGGGCAGGTTGGATATTAGGAACGGTTTCAGAAAGAGTGGTGAAGTGCTGGCACAGGATGCCCAGGCAGGTGGTAGAGTCACTGTCCCTGGAGATGTTCAAGAATCGTGTGAATGTGAAGGATGTGATTAGTGGGAATAGGCTGATGGTTGGACTGGATGACCTTAGTGGTCTTTTCCAGTCTTAATGATTCTATTGTTGGATTCTATGATACAGTATTACAGATAACGTTAAAGCATCCCTCAGTTTCAGGACAGTCTCTTCAGAAGAGCATTCTTGAAATAAACATGAGGCCATAGCACGAGCAATGTGTTTACTGGGGCCAAACATAAATGCTTAACTCCAACCACTCACTGCAGTCTGATGGGACAGTGTTACATTGTCTTACGTATGTATCCTTTTGCTCCATTCTTCTAAATTGTTCTTGACCCTTTACTTTGTTGCTGGTAGGGTTCCTTGTTAGGTGACTAAATTTTCCTCCTAACCCTCTGAGCGTGTCCTGGAAGCTGTGCTCGTTGGTAGACAATAATGTGAGAAGAACTTGAAAAAACAGCAGTGAAGAAAGAGAAATAGTTTCTTAATAAATCGTTAACTTATGAAAGGAATTCTCTATTAAACTTTTTTTTTTTTTGTATATGTAAAAATAATATAAATTTCCATCAGTGTTCATGGATTATAGTCATAATAAGGAAATGGAATGTTGAATATAAAGAGGGAAAATAATTTTCTAGGTCAGATTTCAATGTTGAAATTGTTAATGTCCCTTTTTGTAAGGCTTTGTTTAAAATAAAAGGTTAATTATAAATCGCATCATTATTTTGAATGCCTGATGCATGCAAAATTAAATAAGTAATCGATGTATATAGCTGACTGATGTCTCTGTCCTTTGTTAGCCTTCTAGCAGTGGCCGGGCTGCAGAGCTCCTCGCCAAAGAACGCGGGACGGTGCCTGGGTTTATCGGCTTTGGAACATCGCAGAGTGATCTAGGTTATGTTCCTGCAGTTCAGGGAGCAGAGGAAATAGACAGCCTCGTGGATGCTGATTTTCGAATGGTCTTGCGAAAACTCTCTAAAAGGGATATCATAACAAAATTAAAAGTAAGTGTATGCTTTCTACCCAATAAAAAAATTCATATTGGAAGAGCTCTCCTGATTTTCTGAGGGTTCAGAGAAGAATTTATCAAGGTATCTGGTCCTATGTTCATACCACTATATTTATTAGAGCTGCAGTACAGAAGATAATTTGGAAGGCTGCCCATCAGGCAGTGCTGACAGAGCGTTCATAAAATTAACTCTATGGATGCTCAATTTCAAGAAATAAATTAATTTTTGAAAGAGAGTTGCAGTATCTAGTAGAAGCTGATAAACTGGAGAATGTGGCTATGTGACAGTCCTTAAATCATGCTGTTGATATCTTTTTTTAGGCTATGCAAGAGTTTGGTGCGATGTGCAAAGAAAGAGAAGCAGAAGTTGTTAAAGGTGTTCTTCCTTACTGGCCAAGAATTTATTGTAAAATCTCACTAGTAAGTACAAAACTATATAGATTAGAAATTTCCCTGAATGTTTCCCATGAAAACGCATAAGGTGGTCTTATTGATATATCTTTTTTTTTTTGTTGGAATTGTTGGCTTATTCTAGGAAAAAGAACATGAGGGAAAGTAGCATTCTTTGTTAGTGAGATGTTTCTGTATTGGCAGTGGGGTAACCTTCAACTGTTGATGCCCGGGCTCTTTCTGCTGTTTGAACCTTGTTGTTCTTTAATCATGATACCTCCATCTGGAATGGCTTCTGTTGAAAACGTGATATTGATCAAAATGAATCATTAGAATCCATTAAAATCATTCCTGATGTTTCTTTTAGAAGCCAAGAGCATAGAAAATCATGATGTAAATTGATATACAAATAAACATATATACACAGAGAAACTGCAAATAAGTGCACAACTTGTGTAGGCTTATGGTGGTTTCACTTTATAGTGTCTTCAAGACTTTCTGTTTTTCTTTTTTCCTGTCTTTCTGTTAAATGTTTGTATAAAATAGAGATGATGACTGTACTTATATCTGGGAAAGGTTATGGTTCTGGTTGTGTAATATATCAGGAATATGTTGGTGTGAAGTTAGCACTCTTCTTTATTTCGGAGTATTTGAATATTCAAATCTACATAGCTTGATTCATTGCAAAAAATGGCTGAACTGAGAAAGAGCTGCGTTTGTTTCTGTGTGTGTGTAATTTCTTTTGCTTTGAAATGCTTGGCATCAAAAGTATACTTCTTTTCACTTCAACAGGATCACGATCGCCGTGTTCGAGAAGCAACTCAGCAATCTTTTGAGCAACTGATTCTTAAAGTGAAAAAACACTTGGCGCCTTACTTAAAAAGTATCATGGGATACTGGCTAATTGCACAATGTGACACTTACTCCCCTGCTGCTTCTGCTGCAAAAGAAGCTTTTGAAAAAGCTTTTCCTTCAAGCAAACAACCTGAAGCCTTAGCGTTCTGTAAAGATGAAATTCTTAATGTGAGTTGGTATTTCTTTAAGGCTTTGTGTGTATGTGTCAACTTCTATTAAAAGTTTAAAACTCTTCCTGTCCCCACCTATTCATGGTTACATTTCAGTAAGATAAATTTGTTGTTCACCTGAAGCTGTGCTCCTACTAATGTGAAGAAAAGACTGATACAAAGATACCTCTTGTTTTTTGTCACGTTGCTGCAATGGAACCATACAAACAGAAGAATTAATGAGATGAATGTTGCTGCATGCATTTCGCTGTAATGATGCTTGGTCATTGAATAATTGTTGCTGACAGCTAGAATAATGATGCAGATTAGCTGCAATAGTGGATGATTAAAGAATGCTGAACGCTGTTTCAGAAAGCCCCAACAATTGGTATTGTTACCAAGGTTAATACTATTCTGCTATTCATATGTGAAACTGAATTTAAGAAGATAAAGTTTGCATTGCTGGCCCATCATATGCCAACTTAACCATTTTGTTTTGCCTCAGTTTATCATCTTTTTTGCTGGAAACATGTCAGGACATGTAGGACTGCAGCTTAAGTATTAGAAAGTCTGGATTCAACAGCAGCCATTGTGGAGTCAGTAAAACTGTGTTCTTGCTCACTAGCATGTCTGTAATACATTTAAGAAACTCAGCTCAGGGATTCACATGTTTTACTGTAGCTGTAAGCTGTCTACTCTAAGCTGTTTCTGAATAATATGTGAATAGCATAGCCTATATAAGTATTATATTCTTGTGTACGTGCATAGATATATTATTATTATTTTTTTTGTCCCTAGGTTCTTCAAGATCACCTTCTGAAAGAGACACCTGACACACTCAGTGATCCTCAGTATGCTAACCTAAATAGGTTTAAATCTTGGTTTGTTGGGTTTTACTCTTCTTGTTGAGGTAGTGGATCTAACTCTGTTAAAGAGAGAGAATAGTTATGTGAGTCTAGATCCCAGCAACTTTCCTTGGGATTTGTGAAAGCATTTATACTTATCAGTTGCCTAATTCCTGTTGCAGATCTTTTAAAGTTGTATTTACAAATAGCTGTGGTAGATGGGATGACTTGAAACTCTAGGGCTTTATAGAGTAATTTGGAAGCATTGGAGCATATGGAAAGCCTGTTGATTAATTTAGGGTTCACTTTAATTTTGTTTTCTTTTGTTTTTCTGAGAACTGTACCAGAGGAAGAAAGAGAAGCCAAATTTTTCCGGATTTTGACCTGTTCCTTGTTAGCTTTAAAAAAGTTGCTTAGCATGCTGCCAAAGAAAGAGATGCATTCACTGGAGGAAAAATTAATGTCGCTTCTGTCTCAAAACAAATTTTGGAAATATGGTAAACACAGCACACCGCAGGTAACTTTATTTTAATTATTTTGCTGAGTTTTCATTCAAGATAATGCATTGGATATAAACAGATACGAATTTCTTGTGTCCTTCAAGAATGAACTCTGTAGTTTGTTGCATTATGTTTGAAACAGTTCTCAGATTTCTAGACCATAAATGGATAATATTGTTCTAAATTTCGCCTAACAGGAGATGTATTAGGAAGTGAAATGTAATGTTAGTAAAATGCATGTTATCAAGGACCAAATTATTTTAAAATATTAAAAGGTATTTTAATAGTATTTAAAGCTTTGCTGTTGTGCCAAAATATGGAGCCTGCCTGTTGTCTTTAGAAGTAATGTTATATAACTACGTGTAGTAACAGTGTATTGCCATTTGCCTAATGATTTTGTTCTTCTGTGGTTCGTCAGGTTCGTTCAGCTTTCTTTGAGCTGGCTTCTGCTTTCTGCCAGTACTTGCCTGAGCTGATGAAAGCTGAAGCACCAAGAGTTTGTCCTGCTGTTCTTCTCAGTATTGACGACAGTGATGCAGTAGTATGTCCTGCTCTTTGGGAAGCTGTCCTTCATGCTATTGCCACTATTGAGGTAACATAATAGACATAAGGGACAGATGTTTTACTGGAATGTCACATTTAATTTTTCACCTGGTACCAGAGTTATTTGTGTAGAATAAAGAACAGCTTATCTGGGTTTTCTTCTTAATTAATGACATGAACTTATCTATGCTTCACACTCCTTCCTGCTCCTTAGTGTGTCAGTGTAACTTTCAAATTTGTTGTATCCAGCATGGGTAGTTTTATTAGTTTAATTTAGTTGACTTGAATCTGTTGGATTAAAAATAGGTAGATAGAACTTTTTTTCTTGGTTGAAGAAAGTTACAAAAATGACCTTCAGTGCTTTTTTGCTTTCTTTGTTTTCTCTTCTAATTTAATACTTAGTTCCAAACTTTTTAAATTTTTTTTTTTGAATGAGATATCAAACTTGCTGAATTTAATAGCAGGACTAGCAGTGCTCCCCATAAACATGCATGATATATGTTAAACAGCTTTGTTGGAGATATCTTAGGTCAGAGGACAAAAATCTTTAGGTGTTAGAAGAAAAGTGCTGAGGTGTTTTGTAATCATCAGAAGGTTTCTCTCAGGAAGTTTTGAAGTTAGTGATGCTTCGAAAGTTAGGATTTTGAAATCAGTGCTTGTTCTTAATGATAAGAACAGGATTAAATAAAGAAGCAGTTTTGCTAATAATTTTTTATGAAAGATTCTTACGTGCAGCATCATTAAAGAAAAATGTTTAACTGCAGTGTTATCACAATTACTTGTAAAAATTCACAGCTAAAATAAGGATTTTTAAGAATAGGGGAAATCAATTTCAATTTTACATTAAATTGCTTCAGCTACAACTTAGCCAGATAGATAGACATTTAATCTAAGGAGTTCCTCTAAAGTAACATATTCTCTTTTAATTTATGTTAAGTATATTTCCTTCTTTAGGACTGTTGGAGTCATGTAAATGCCAGAAAAGGAGTTCTACCGAAACTGTGGACAGTACTTCGAGAAGGTGGACGAGGACTGGCTACTGTTATATACCCGAATATCTTGCCATTCATTAGCAGGGTACCTCCTGGCATCACAGAACCAAAGCTGGAATATTTCAGAACTTTTTTCAGCTCAATGATTCAAGGGTATGAACCACAAACTGCACTTGTTTGTTATCAATCTCTTATATTTGGAAACAGGACTAATATTTAAGTATTTAAACATAGGTAACTCTATCTCTTTGCTTGAGGATATTTACGTATGCATGTATCATTAATTTTGAGGGTGGGAAAAAACCACTCACTTCGCTGTAGTATCTGAAAATAACATTTTCAAATTACTTTTGCATATCTAGTGCTAAAGTCAATCCTTTGCAGCCCTTCCTGTCCTGTTGAACCTCCTGTGTGATTTTTATTACATATTCCTTGCCAAGAACATTCTTATCTTCCTTTGACAAAGTTTTGTGTTTATTCCATGCTAAGTTTTGAAAGGAAAAATGGGAAATGAATTTCAAGTTGAGTTACTTCGGAGAGATCAGGTTCTTCTTCTGCACAAATGTACACAAGAACTTCTTTACGGTGAGGGTGACGGAGCACTGGACCAGGCTGCCCAGGGAGGTTGTGGAGTCTCCTTCTCCGGAGATATTCAAGACCCACCTGGACACCTACTTGTGCAACCTGGTGTAGGGAACCTGCTTTGGCAGGGGGGTTGGACTCGATGATCTCTGGAGGTCCCTTCCAACCCCTACGATTCTGTGATTCTGTGATTTTTTGCCACTGTAGAGGTCTCACTTTATTATCGAGATTATTGAGAGTTAGTGTTGTGGTTGTGAAATCTACTATGTGCAGGATGTTTAATTCTTATTATATTGATTTTCAAGGATTTGAACTGCTACCGTATTTTTTCTCTTAAAATGTCAATAACAGCTGTCAAATGTAATTTACATATTTTGTAAGCATTATATACTCAAACATATATATCTTTTTCTAAAAGACTAAAATTATTTAAACCAAACTTATTTAAACCAAAATGAGTTCTTGACTGTTGGTGAGGTGATCATTAGCAGAGTTCTTTGAGAAAGTAGTATTGTGCAGTAATTTCATGTAGTCTTTAAATGGTGATTTAAGCATCAATGTTGCTCTGAATCAAACTGATTGTGGTGAAACCTTCTTTTGATGGCTTTTTGTGTATTTTTTTCATTTTTTTCCTTGTAATGATTAGTTCCTTTCTTCTTGTATTATAACATAAGCTACAGTCTTAAAATAATAAAAGCATCTCATAGAATAGTAAAATCATGGAATCGCCAAGGTTGGAAAAGATCTCCAAGACTGTCCAGTCCAACCATCCACCAACCGGCAGTATTTCCCCACTAATCCATGTCCCTTAGTACAGCAACTAAACATTTCATGAGCACCTAAACCTGTTTAGTGTGTACAGAAAACTGCAGGTGAGCTTTTGTGAACTTTTACAAGTAGCTGAAACAGTAAATTGTATTCTTGATTGGAGAAGTTTCCTCAATTTACATAGCTGATTTTTTTTCCTTTCTATTTAATATTGAAATAAGATGAAAAAGATATTTTAATGTAATTTGTACTACATGCCTAGTTTTGTTATTTTGACTCTTTGAACATGTCCTCTTGAATTCATTTCTGTCTGACAACTGAATGGGTATCTGGACAAAAGCAACATAATCAGGGTTACGTTGAAGTATTACACTGGGTTTCTCTGTAGCTTAGACAACAGACTGTTCCTACTCCCACCTCCCAATGTTACCTTTCAACAGGTTATCAAATGAGCGGGCACTAGCCAGTCCTTCAGAAAGTTCAGCAATTATAACTACTTTTATGGAATGTCTGCGCTTTGCCATACTACAGAAGATAGATGAAGATGAACAAAGACAAATACATCAAATGCTAATATTTGACCAGGTATTTGTTAAAACAACTTACTGTTATTTCACATGCACGTAATAGTTCAAAGTTAAAACCATCAACTTCTGTCAGGATTTATTTCTCTGTTGAAAGTCTCACTAGATTTAATGCAGAAAAATAATGTTATTAAAGTTGTTCAATATTTTCCTTGCTATAAATTCAGTCTTAATAGTTCTGAGGTTTTTTGTTTTGGTTTCCAGAATGTTTTTCAAAATGATAGAATTTCCTGGTATTAGGAACAACGAAAAGCTTTTCTAGTTGGATCAATTTATTTTTATTTTTTCCTTTATAGCTAATTCCTCTAACTGATGCTGTACTTCAGGAGCCCAGGTTACAAAATGGACCATTATTTTATCAAATAGCAGAAACAATAAGCTCCTGGGAAGCGAAAGCTGAAGTCTCTAGTGATGATAATACAAATGAAGTTTTCCAGAAACTATTGTCAAATTTCTGGGACTGTCTTTTAAAAATGTGTATACTTCATGTTGATAAATTGGAGGCTGATGAGAAGACATTGTTTGCCATATCTGATATGCTGGAGGTTCTTCAAAATCCAAAGACTGCTACGAGACCAAACAATAGAAGATCTCTAAAAGTAAAATTTTCAGATGAGGATGAGTCTGAAAGGAACACGGAGAATGGAAAGATCACGGAAGTGAGGAATAATAGTGACTCTGAAATACAAGCTGACCTACAGCATAGTTCAGTTCTAAGGAAAGAACCTTTAGAAAATTTAGTCTGCCACCTTTCTGAGCTGAGTATTGTGTATGTCAACGAACAGAAGTCAGAGCAGCATTTGAAATTCCTTGCTGCCCTTCTCAACTCTTTTTCTTCAAACAGAGTTTTTCAAGTACTTTTAAAGCAGGGAAGCAATGCAAGGTGTCCTCCAGCTGAATCCCAAGAAGACATAAAAGTTCATAATGAAAATCCATCTGTACAATTTCTGTATATGAATTTAATAACTTGGCTTAAAGAAGACTGGAGGAAAGACATGCATTTTCTGGTTGATATTTTGTACAGTGTGCTTAACTGTTGCAACAGTAATGATGAAAGGAAAGTCATTCTTGATGATTTAACAAAGGTATGTCTTGAGTATTTTCTTAATAGATTTTGCTGAAGTTACTATTTTTTATGGTATGTGATTGTTTAATCTCTTTATTTTGCAGATGTAGAATGAGTTATTCTGTTCAGTTGAACAAGTTCACATAGAAGTAGATTTAGAAAAGGTTGACATTACAGTGTTGGAGTTATATTTTAATATAAATATATGTAAAAACAATTGTTTACATATATATTTACATATGTAAATAAAAGTAATATCAGAAGTTCTCTATTCTTCATACAGTGTGCTTTTATGCTTAGTCATGGGAGGCCTTTCTTTTAATTACAGGTTTTTATTGGTCTAAATGCTAGAGAGAGACTTGGGAGGCAAAATAACTAATAAATAACTTTGTTACTGAAACTTCTGCTTATCACTTGCAGAAAATCAAATTTTACAGCTAACAGTTAAAAAGATATTAAATACTTCCAATTCAGTAAATCTTTTCTGTTAAATTTTCTGGAATCTTGTTTTTCTTCTAGATGGACCTGAAATGGATCGTTTTTCTCCAGATAATTCAAAAGGTACCTCTTTAGATTTCATTTTTTTTTTGTTGTTTTGCTTAGTTTTTAATGTTTCTCTGGTTTTATCTTTGAGATTTAGATGTATTAAACCCCTTTTTCTTACTTTTTTTTTTTCTTCCAAACTAATGGTAAAGTAATGCAGCAATACTTTCAAAGTGTTTGTTTTAACTCCATTTAGAACTAAGGTTAGTCCTAGAAATGAAATGATAATTTAAAAAGCAGAAAAAAAGAATAAAAAATAAATACAAGAAAACCCACAAAAATCCCACACGTGTGCATGCAAATCATCCATGCATCTTTGTCCCTTCAATTTTTGATCAACTTGCCCTTTGAGGCAGAGGGATTCCTAATTCATTTCTGGGCATCCCTTCAAAGCTAGAGAAAATGGAGCTGATAATTTTGGAATGATCACCAATAGTTGTGTTATCTTTGTTTATTATCATAGAGTTCATATTTGCTTCAAAAATAGGTATGTAAGCTCCTGTATTGTTTTTGAAGACTATGAAATAGTGATGGATTAGGGATCTAGACTGCATGCTGTGAAATGATTATCACCCATACATTGTGTGCACAAGAAAAAGGTAATATCTCATTATTTCTGCACAAGGATATTGAAAAATTGGTATGGAAGTGAATGCCTGGATGAAATATGGAGTGTATTACAAATTTTTTGGACAAGAACTTGCATCATTTGACTGATGATCTACTGGGTTTACGATAGTACCTTTCCTTACAGATACTATGTATTTTTTGAAGCTTTTATCACATTATTATTCACAATGCTTTTCTAATTGTGACCTGTCATCTGTTTTTAGAGAAATTCAGATGCTGTAAATAAATTTTATTTCGGCCAAAACTTTTAGTTACTTGAAAATTAGATTTTTTTTTTTTTTTTTTTACCCCAATTTAGGCATTCTCTGACCTCTGTAGTTGGAGAAGAGAAAAAAGTAGAGCTCTTAGAAGGTGTCTTGCTTCACCTTGAAGTAGAAGTCTGACCTAGTAGTAAATTGCTGTCTTGTCTTTAGCCAAAAAGGATACTAAGGGAATGATCACAGACATATTTACCTAGAGACTTATTGTTTCTGACACAGTGGGATTCCTGCTTGTGTAGGTTTGATTTGTGGCTTCTGAGGACTGCATATTAATCTTATACTTCATAATAGAAGTAAATAGCTTCAAAAGATTATAAGAATTATTTTCTTTTTGTCACTCAGGCATGCTCTAGCACAACAAAACTTTTGTTAATCTCTGAGTGGCTGAAAGGAGATATGCTTGGAGAAAGACTTGTAATGCTGGCAGATGATCTGTGTCACCTGGGTTTAAAACCAATAGCAACCTCACCAGAATCATCCTCTTCAGAAAAATGGACCGTCCTGAGCTTGGTGTTGTCACAACACATTAAAAATGGTAAACATATTTCATCTTTGCAGTTTGTGAATTGTAAATACTGCACTTAAACTTGATTTTTTGTTACCAGAATTCTGGAAGTTTAGGTGTAGAGGAGCATCAGAACTCCTTCCTCTCTCCAGACAGAAATTTCAACCAACTTGATTCCTTATGGTTCAGTGCTGTCCTGGGGCTCATTTTTCAGTGACTTGGCTGTTTATCAACTTGTAGAACCTGAATGTACTGCTAAGATCAAGGCATTAATTTAATGTTGGGTGCTTTGTGATGTGTTTTACTGCACATTGGATGAAGTCTAAGAGACCTTCAGGGTTTTTCTTGACTTACGGATGTAAGTCAAAGTAGAGTATATGAGTTTCAAAAAGATTTTTGATGTGTTCTCTCTTCTGAATTTCTCAAGGTAGACTGGCATGAAGTAAAAGGAAAGGCTTTTCATGGATTGGTAACCTATTAAGTGATAGAAGTTAAAAGGAAATAAGGATGAATTGTGAAAGGGTGGCAATTATTTCTGATTCATTATTCTGATTAATCAAAACTAAAATGCAGGGATTTGTAGCAGTATGTTATGACACTGAATGATTAACTGACAAAAATAAATTTGTGACTAATAAATATAAAAAGTATGTCCAGGGAGAACTTAATTGTGACTTTCTCTCTTCAGTGAACTGTTAAAATTCAGAAAGAATTGGTTTTTAGGAACTGCTTTGAGAAAAACTGAGGACCAATGAATGTCATTGTTATCGCTAGGATGTCCATATCTTGATTATGGTCTGTAGTTTTGGTCACTTCAATATTCTTGTTCACTTAAGTGTTTTTTGTTTTTTGTTTGTTTGTTTGTTTTGTTTTTTTTTAAAGCTACAATAAAATCAGAAAATATCCAAAGAATTTGTTAGACAAAAGTGATGGTTTCTGTTTAGAATTAAAATAATGAAAACTTTTTAGTATCCATAAGTCTGCAACTACTTTACACTTGATTTTTGCATGCTGTATTAGTAAATAAAAAGCATTTAGGTACATATTATGTCTTTGAGATAACTTGTCAAAGCTCGTTGTTCTTTTCCTATTCCTAATAGAATCTTTGATTGGTGAAACTTATGTCAAAAGGATTATTGATAAACTTCAAGCAGCGCTGTCTAAAGCTAAGGATCTTTCAGAAGCTGGAAATACCGAACCATCTGTATCTTTTATCTGTGATGTAGCCTCAAGCTTTTTCAGTTCTGTTAAAGGGTGTTTACTGATGCCATCCTCAGAAGACTTGCTGCTTACCATCTTCCAACTGTGTGCTCAGAGGCAGGATGCTACACATTTAACAGGTGATCTGAAAAAAAGAAGTGTTTCTCACTGTGTCTGGTTTTGTACTGTTATTATTATTTTTCTTTTTTCAGCCATTTTACTTACTTCTTAGGTCTTGTGAGATGGATTATCAGCTAGAGAGGTGAAAATAATCACTCTTAATCTCAGATAAAATATTACTTGTGTATAAAAGTTAATTTAAAATTGTTCTGCAGCTAGAAATTTACATATTTTGCCCATGACAGTGATCATATTTTGCCCATGACAGTGATCATATGTAATAATGTAGAAAAAAGAATTCTCTACTTGCTCTAGCACCATTAGTCATGCGATCATTGCTCTAAGATGCAGCTTTTTTTTTTTTTAACAATAGATTTGCTTGTAAGCAAGTTAAAGCATACTTGGATATCTGGTGTAAATTCGCTCGTCCGTCATCTTCGGAGTATGCAGAATCAGAGCACCTTTTTGCATAAGTCTGCACTATGGATCAAGAATCAAATTCAGTCTTCCTCTTTGGATGTCAAAAGGTAATTGTGGTGTGCATGTCCATGTCATAGTATGTTGTTCCCTAAAACAAATGAAGATCAAACCTATATAATTCCATATTTAGTTGGCATCTGCATTATTTAGAGTTTTTTAAACCTGTCAGAGGTGGGAACTTTGGTTTAAAAGCATAATTAAAACATAGCATGTAAATAGCATTGTCTATTTTATAAAACAAGATTTTGCTTGATAGTGCCAAACTTGTTTGCAGCATTTTCTTGTTTTTCTCAGCCTTCAGGTTTTGATCTCTGCAGTTAGTGATTTATTGTCTACACTTCTGGAAGCTGACAGACAGTCTGGATGTCTTGTGGGAGCTTATGTTGAGCACATTATGCCCAACAGAACTGAATGGGAAAAATTACGTGAGTCTCTTTCTGCTGAGGTATGAAAATGATAATTGACTTTTATGTTGTAGTTAACCTTACCTGTCTCCAATTGCATGACACTTCAGGTGTGATTATACATATCAGCACGTGTCCTGTGGTTCTTTTTGGCCTCTATCCATGTAGGACAAAATCTGTATGCTTATGGCACCATCAATACTGCTGGAGACAAGCAAAATCTCTGAAATACTTTTCGGCATGAAACATTGGCAACTTACTTTGCAACTCTGAAATTTTGTCTGTCAGAATATATCTCCTGAAGATATTCTATAAGTAAACTAAACTATAAGATTATTTTTTGTGTAACGCTAATATCTGCAGGGTAACTTGATGTGCTGATTGTAATCAAAATGCTGGCATGACTAGATTGAGAGAGAGTGATAATTTTCTGTCCAACTGCTGATCTTCAGTAACCCTACTATTTTTTTTAAGCTGTATAGCTTTCTAAATGTATGTGTTTATTTCTGAGGCAATAATGCAGTCTCAAGTAACTGCTGTGGATTTATTTCTTATGTACACAAGGGGGTGATCCTCAGTATTATGCTCTTGGTGTAGACTTATATCTTCCGTGGTTATTTTTTAATTGTGAATTTTTAACATTAAATAGATCATTCATCTTCTGTGTATCATTAAGATCTCAATCATTTGTTCATAAGCTCTTTATGCATGTATTACAGTGGATGCACAAACCTCTTTTGGAAGGAAGGCTGAGTATGAATTGTGAACATTTGGGATCATGTGTTAAGCTATGTGGCACAACTAAACTTCCAGGACATCTGTGTACTTCAGCCTTATTAAGTAAAATGGTGCTACTTGTACTGGAAAATGATATGGTGAAGGGAAATGAGGATGCTGAAAGAAAGAAAATTGATAATATATGTAAGTTACAGTGGTAAAATTTAAAGGAATTTGATTTTGCACTAGTTTTAATTGTCAATTGAGGTTGATTTAGAATTGAATAATGAAAGTTTGGCATATCAGAAACATATGTACATATATTTTTTGCTGTAGGTCTCCTTTATAAGTACAAGTGTGTACTTACGCTTCTTAGGGACTTTTGCTATATATACATGCTATCTCAACAGGACTTTGATTTTAGGGAAGTTTGAATTTACAGTAAATCTCAGTGTTGTTCCTTGCCAAAGCATGTATGGTGCATTGGAGTGAGTGGATAACAGTAGCTGTATCCATGCCATCAAATAAAAGCCTTTAGCATTTAGATGCAACTTTTCTGAATTCTGCTGGATGAAATTTAATTTCCTTTGGTTTATAAAAATGTAAGGTCAGAGACAGCATAGTCAAATTAACAGTTCTACCTCTTGATGTCCCACTGTGAAGAAAAGTGTAATTGTTCAGTGTAGGTTTTTGTAAGCCAATTTGAGGGGGGGAAAAAAAAAACGCAAAAAAAAACCCCAAAAAACAAAAAACCCAAGCACATGCTAGCTGTCTATTTAGTTGTGTTTCTGTTTGTTTGTGCTCTGGATTTAGATCTTGATTGCCTTGTCTGCAGAAATGTATATTAAAAAAATGTTTTGGTGAGGGTGTAAACTTGTCCTTCATTTCCTTTAAAGCTTTTTGTACATCTATGGTAGTTTATTCTTTTTTTTTCTTCTTTTGTGTTTTATGATGTAATGTCAAATAACCCAGTTTGTGTTCTGAAATATCTGAGATTGTGTATAAATGTGGTTGTCTTAATGCATTACAAATACATTAAAACAACCCAATAACTATAAAAAAAATCAGACTTCATACCTATCCATTGAATATACTCAGCAGTTGCTTTTGTTATTTAATTAGTTGCAGAACTGTTGTATTCATTACAATGGATTGAAGAATTGGAGAATCCTCCTTATCTGCTTCTGGAATATCTTCATATGTTAGAAGAAATGCACATCACATATGAAAAGTTCAGCGCACTCAGTAATACAACTAACCTTCAGCAAACAATATTTGATAGGTATGTAAGAACAAGTAAAACTTCAACCACACTACAGCCCTTAGCTCTATCTTTATACTTTGCAGTGTGTTGAGTATTGACTGTTAAGCACTTCCGTTAAATGCTATAGTATTTCCTTATGTATATTGATTCGTATTTCATCCAAACGCTTGTGTTGTGAACTGTTTATGTATAGTATATATTAACCAGGATCTATTTTCTTCTTTTGAAGATCAGAGGAACATGGAAGACTCTGGTCCTTAGTCATGGCCAAAGTGATTCATGGAGAAGACGCTGTATCCTGTGAGATGAAAAAGCTGTTTAAGACGAGCGAAGGGTATTTAAATACTGTTGCCTATCATCTCTTAAGCAAAATTGACATTGCAAAATTTTGCTGATGTTAAATGATACTGATTCTGATGATACTGATCTGAAGACTGAAAATTTGGTCATATATGCATGCGATATGTAAAAATGAAACACTCTATAGTGTGTGGGATTAGTTACATCGCAGGATATTAAGTGGCTTCCAGATCAATATGAACCAGTTATCATTTTGTTTACTAGTTAAAGCTTTGAGTTTATTTTTGATCTGCTTATTTGAATAGGTTTCTGCCATTAACAGAGGGCAGATTGCATACACTTCAGTGCCTATCACCCTTTTTAATTGAGGAGGAGAAGAGAGAACTTGTTTTCCACTGTGTGGCCAAACTTATGACATGTACACCAACAGAGCTCTCCAGTACTGATGGTCAGTATGGTTTTCACCTCAGCATGCTTCATTATAATTTAAGAACATTATTTTGTAATAATGTTTGCTTTTATGTGTATTAATATTGGTTTTACAAGAAATTAGTGTGTCTGCAGTTTATGTATTTCTTCTAGACTGTTTGGCACTTTGGTTTTCTTTCTTTTTAAGGAAGTACATCTATATGTGCCTGGTACAGAATTAGAATTAACGATTAACAATATCAGTCAAAAGAATTTTGATACAGCCTTCTTGTTTGGTCTATCTGATTTGGACACGGTTGCAAACATTGGAGTTTTCAATTAATCATTTAAGCTTTATATAATATGCGGTATACTTCTCTTATTTACTGGTAGTGTTATGACTGGTTTTAGTGAGAACTCCTTTGAATTTCATAGTTTTTTGAGCAGTTCGTACGGTGAATGCCACGTCATGTGCTGAATAAGAACTGCTGTACATGCATCTCCAAAAGCTTTTGAAAAATTATTTAATGAGGTAATTGAGATGTGTTATAATTGCTTTGAATGTCATGTAGAAAGAATGATAATAAGATTGTGAAAACTTTTTTACAGAAATCTTCAGAAATACACAAAATCCTTCTACGTATTTGAATTACATGTGATCTTAAACAAACAAACAAACAACCTTCTATTCTCTCTTGGTACTTTTTTCATGATTTCTTGCACATTGTCTTATTGACTGGTCTACATTTAAAAAAAAATAAAATTAAGGTTTATTTCTGTTTTCTTTTTTAACAGGACCACGTTTAAATTGAAAAAAAATCTCTGTGGCCATTTTAAACTGTTGGCATCTGTCCCTTGGTAGTGTTCTCGTGTTTTCAGATGAGCTCTTTCAAATGAATGTCCTTTAAGTATGGAAATCTTCAGTGTTAGTTTCATGAAACAATTGAAGAGAATGTTTCTACTGTTACAGTTTCCATAATGTTTATTCTTCAGGCTTAGTTTGTTGTGAATCTTACAGGAATTTTTTGGTTATTGGTTTGAGCGTTTGGGTTGGTTATAGTACTTCTAATTTAATAATGGCACCTGCAGATTAAGTGTTAAAAGAAAATAGCTTAGCTGCTGTCCAAACTCTGTTATGATATTAAGTATCCAATCTATGCACATTCTAATGCTTGTTTTACCTTGATAATTAATGCCTCCTGTGGGATAATATTTTTTATTGTGTTGTAGGAGCTTTTGGGTGTCTCTCCATTTTGAATTCCTGCTTGAATGACAAAAGTTTTGGTTGTGATCACCTCTTACCCGGAGTACTAAAAATCATAATATCTTGGAAAAATGATAATGAGGACAGTTTCCTCTTTAGCTGGTGGGTGCAACATTGAGATAATTTCACTGTTTCTTTTTTTTCCAGTTTCTAAAGAGTTTAAAAATAGGGAGTGGTCGTGAACTCGATCAAGACAAAGAAAATAATAATGCTGTCATCCACTATTTTAGTACTATATTTTTAAGTTTTTGTTGAACTGCATCTTGCAGTTTAAGATTGCTTTGTCTAAGTATCTAGTAAGTCATACTGAAGGGAATTATCCGAAAGTAAGCATATGTAAGAAGGTCAACCTGACAGTAATTCTGTAAGCAGAGCTGGAAAACTAGGAGCACTTTCAGGTTGTTTTCAAAGCATACAGAACTGCACAGTTTTGCAGGTATAGCTGAATATTCAGTTCAAAACTGTGATTGCTTAAGGTAGGAGAAAGACACTTAAGTTTGGTATCAAAGTTTTCTAAAATTCTGGACCTGACATTGTAATTTGGAAAGCTAAGCTTCCAGCAGAGAGTTAAAATGTGCCAATATTTGTTTGTGTAGTGAGAAAAATCCAGGCAACATCTTTTGTAAATAATTTACAATATTGGGACTACTAAGGGTTTATTTTTGAAGTAAGTTATTATTTAAAAAGAGAACTATTTTTCTTGCTCTTATTTTGTTAAAATTGCTACATTTTGCAGTTTAAAGTTTTAGGAATCTGTTAAAAAACATACAAATAACAAGTACCTCTTGACTGACTTGTTTTGAATTGGTAGTTAATGTAGGATTCTCATTTTGAAAGACAAAGTGCCTAAAGCACATAGTTTTGTTCCAGGCTACTACCCTAATGTGTCCTAAGTGGAGAAACAAAGGCAATGAAACTAATACTTTCAGTTACAACATGACAATACGTAAGCTTTAGTTGTGTTTTTATTTCAGCAATCTGAAAGAAACAAGTGCTCAGTTGCTTGGT